TTCACTTAACAAATGGAAAAAAACACACAAAGAGAAAAGAAGGACCACACAAAGGATAATACAAGGAACACCCAAGGACCACATAAGGTATATTGGGGCCAGCACAGAATAAAAAAATATATGAAAGAACAAAAAAATTTCCAGCAACACACCACACTAGGAACATGCAAGGACCACACAATGATCACACCAGAACCAGCAGAGTCAAAAAGTATACAAAAAACAAAAACAAAATCCTAACAACAGTTCAATGCACATGCCAAAATCAAGAAAATCGAGTAACAATGGGTCCACTTACATATGGGTTGACAACCTCCAGATTCTCTAAGCACCACCATCTTCGCACCTTCTAGCCTTAAAGTCTAACGCCAACGAATGATTTCTTCTCCAATTTCTCCCAAAATCGAAGGAACCCTCAGATGTTGACAACAACCCTCTTCTCCAATGAACCCTAAACCCAATTTCCCCTTTGTTACAAACTGAGAAACCCTTATTCGAACAGCTTAAAGGTTAAAACGAAGTGGGGCACACTATTCGTAACGGACCGTCAAAAAATTTGACGGATGGGGTAAATTGAGACGGTTATTTATACGTTGGGGGGTACTTTGGGACGTTTTCCACCACAGGTGGTAATCTGAGAAAAACTTAAAAGCACAGGGGGCATGTACATAATTAAGCCTTGTTTAATTGGCAGCATTCTGCAGACGAGGGTGGCAGCAGTTATATTTGACCAACTTGGTCTCCATGGGGTCGTCACAGACTGGGCAGTCCAAGTGCATTGGGGCATTTCCAGCAATCTGAAAGGTGATGCAGGAGAGTCCTTTTTTCCCAGTTATAAAACTCTCATGGTACTTGGTGAAAGCATATCCCCAGTCCTCCCCAATTATGTGTTGCTTCCAGATAGAAAATTTCTCTAGGGTTGTGACAATAGTGTTAGCCTGACCACAGGTCACCACAGTCCATCCTTTGGTAAGCATAATCCATCCGTCGATATCGTCTTTGTGAAATTTGTAAGAAAGTAGCTTGTGGACTTCTTTTGTCAACTGCTTGTACTCGTACTCCTTGCTAGAGTGAGCCAAGCTAAATAAGAGGCTTTCCATGCAGAACCAGAAAGCCTTCGCAGTCTCCGATTCTTCCATAAAACTAGCTAACCCAATCTGTATTTTCAGTGCATTCTCAATGGCAAGCTTTGCTTTTCTTATCTTGTTGAGCAAGTCAGTGGCCGTTTTCTGGTTTTTGCCTCCAATGAAGAAAGTGTACCCTTGGTTTTCCATCTGTTGCAGCACATTTAACGGAATAATACTTATTAAATATTCCACAATTAATACAAAGTGCTGCTATTTATACCATATTTACTCACCACTTCTTTAATACAAGTAGGTCCCACATACATTAGTGGGTTCCACTTTTATTAGAGAGTTGGTCAACAAAGTGATCAACAAATGCAAATAATATCATTGATTAATAAATTCGTACCAAGTGTAGAAGTTGGTCATTGTCCTTCAAAATATGATGCACTACTGGCTTAAGCACTGTGTTAATATCCAGGAAATCAAAGAAATGGATACCAAATTCCTTAATCGAGGTAAGCGCATTGGTGTTTTCAACCTTTCCTTGGGGGTTGATCAACACCGCTGTGGAATTTCCCCTGACACTCCACTCTTTCTTGAGGTACATGTATGATGCTGAGGGAAAATATTGCACTGCGTACCACGGCATCTGCTCCTTCCATTTCTTAAACTGCAACTCTTTCTTTTGAGCTTCAGTCGTCCAGTCACCCTCAAAGGGGATCCACACAATCTTGCATTTATACTCTTCATAAATTCTTTTGTACAGATTTTTGAGCAGCGAAAGTTCTTCGTTCGATATATTTTCCAGGCTCGAGATATAAAACAACACATATTTCCCCCTCACCTCATCCATAAATGTATCGCCACCGATCTGTTGATCATCCATCAAGCAAAGTTTTAATTTTTAATTTTATCTTTAAGAGACCGCCAAAACACTAGTGTCACTTTATTTACCAAATTTATCACTTTATAAACTTCAGTTATTATTGTTAACAGTAAAGAAAGTTTAAATTGAATAACCACGCCATTTGGTAAATATAAAATTTGGTGAACATCTTGGGTGTTTCTAGCATTATTAAGCACTGTGTTACAAGAGCAAACCTCCTTGTTATTAGAATCGCACTTAATGACGGGCTGCTGATTGACAGTATCGTTGTAGAGAATCAAGGTGCTGATAACCTTCGTGATGCTATCACAGATTACAAGTTCTTTACGAATCCACCAGTACTTAGCTGCCTCCGCTGTATTGAATAAGTAAAACAAACATACAAAACCAATAATTTACAAATATACCCATATATAATTTTTCTAAATGTAAGACATCCATCATTTAACAGATATGCAAAATTTGAAATAACAAAAGTTAACAAAATGTCAACAAGTTATTGGCAGATTATGACAAGTTATTACAAATTCGGTTTTTATGTAAAGGACTAACGCATGTAAAGAGAAATACTAACTAGTTCATCATTTATATGTTTCCTTTTTATTGAGGGATCCTTCGGACATCTTGTGAGGTCCACCACAAATTTTACCTCAACAATCTGAGCCGTCTATATTTCAATCGTCTATTTTTTAATTTTTCATTCATAGATCATCATTGCAAAAGCTTAGATCAATTGAAAACTATTAAGACAATTAGTTGGGACCAACAAAAAAGACAAATTAAAAGCCATTAAGAGATCTACTGACTGATCTAGGGCAAATGATTATAACTTCCCCTGCTTTCTAGGGAGAAGGAGCACACATGAAATTGCTCATGTTGGTGTTCCCCTTCATCATGACTGTCATGGGGGAAAAAGGTTTGAAAAAAGGCCTTTAAGAGGTTGAGGCAAAGCCAGAGAATTAGAAAGCAAAATCCATAGAATTGTACACACACACACACACATATAATCCACCTTTTTCTTTCACACATCTGTCATACTGTTCCTTAAGCTCCTTGACGAGTTCATTGATTTTCTTCTCCAGGTCAAGCATGGGTAGATTGTCCGGCTCGTCCCTGTACCGGAGAAAATCATGTTTGAACATGATACACAAATACAAGTACATTTTAATTGTGTATAGAAAAAGGGTATATATATATATATATATATACTGAATAAATTTTCTTGGAAATATAATGTTCTAAATTAAATTAATGGAAGAAACTTACTTATCACTGGTAAGACGGTTGATCTTAGCCGTACAAGCTACAATAGTGTAGATTGTCCAATACACTGCCGTTGGGATTTTTTTCATTGCAGTGGTCAATGTAGGAACATCATTTGGATTGTTGTGCTGTAGAAGATCCTCCAGCTTAACGATGTAACCAATCACATGATATGTTTCCATGATCAAATTGTTAAGCTCAGCAATCGCAGCCCTACGTTTCTTTAAGGTTTCGTGTTTGATAAGGATCGGCACTCGCTTAAGGATTGCCACTGACTTGGTAAGTTTGTCACACTGGCCATAGTTCTGGGCAAGGTGCCAGAAATCTCCATATTCAAAAGCAAAGGCTGCTAGGGTTAGCACTGCCTTCGCTTCCCATGAAAACGTTTTTAGCTTTTTAAATATTGCTTCAGTCCTTAAAGGGAGGGAAACTTGTTCACCATCCTTACATGGTGACATCTGAGATTTCATCGCAATATATACTATGATAAGTCAATATGTTAAGGTGTCGTCCCCGTCGTAGATTGTCATGTCAGGGACATTGTGCTGCAGAAAATAAAAGTGATGAGAATTAAGTCATCAGTGTACTAAAAATAGTAGTGTTCTAATACATACTAAAACTCTATAGAGGTACTTTACCTGTAGAATATTATCAACGATGGAGTTATTGGCTGCATCATCAATGATGTTCCCAGTGACTGATAAAAGATCGCGAACGCTAAAGCTGAGCTTGTTCTGGTCAGGAAAGTGGTTTTCATGAACAACAGTCCAGATTTGGTCTTCAGAAACGTAAGACTCAAAACTTTCAACCCGGATGTGCTCCTCATGAGTCACGGTGGTACTAATATGTACTCCTTCCTTTTGGGTAGAGGACTCAACTGTGGCATTCCGCGCTTTGTTTTTAGGCAGGCTTGTCATGATCGATATGGCAGAAGAAAGAAGAGAGAAATATCAGACTTGGGGCTAATGGCTTGTAAGTCTTGGGGTGAGTTCAATACAATGCCCACTGCCCCTATTTATAGCCCCATCCTGCAATGCATGCCCACTCCCAACTTGCCACGTAGTGCACACCATTTGGATATTTGTAGATTCTTTGTACAAGGAAAAAAAAGAAAAGATAAAGTCTTGTAGACTACCAAGTCAATATGTTGGTTACTTTTATTCTTTCTTTATTATTGTACAGTCCATTTAATACTTTGATGCCAGCTGGCTATTATGTAGATGTCACCCAGTGTTGCCATCACAGCAAAAAATTCCACTACATGTAATGCATGGACTGAAAATTTCACTAATTTTAATTAATGCTTGTACGGGATTCAACATATGTGTAACACACGAACTGAAAAGTCCACTAAATTAAATTAGTACTTGTACGGGATCTAATGCATGTGTAACGCATAACCGAAAATTCTGTTAATTCAATGAATACGTGTATAGGATCAGAGTGGTGCCGACGCCACCCACTTTTTTGTTTTGGTTTATGTCAACATTAATGCTATTTAGATATATAAGATATTAGCTAATCACCTTATATATGACAGTTGATGTGGTCATGTCATATCAATTAATGAATATTATCATGTCATATCAGTTATTGTTGACAGTATTACAGGTTGGAGATGCTTTTGGACAGTTCTCTCTAATAACTGAACTTGGGATGAGAAATGGCGCAATGATTTTGGAGCGTTAATGTCTTGAAGTGAACTCTATGATTTTTGGCACGCAATATAACTCTCTTTTTGAAGTCTATGATTAATATTATTGATGTTCTTTTAAGCAAATAAGTGACAGAATTGTCAAAAATTGTATACCCCCTCTCACATGGGAATTGATTCAACTAATGATCAAAACGATGGATCTTTTTTTTTATGTTCTTTGGAAATTTCTTATTTGTCATGTTCCTTGAGGATTGATATCATATGGATCAGGTAATATATCTAATTTAGGACTTGCTAGCTACAAAAAATAAAAATAAAAAAATAAAAAATAATCCATTCGGAAACAATTGGAAGTTGTTGCCAAATGTCAAAATTTGTTACCTAAACATACAGTCAACGAAAAATTATCATTGCAAACATCATTGTAGTATGTCCGTGTCCTAATGGAATATGCAACAAAATAACAGAGTTGTTGCTCAAGCACTAATACGATTTGTTGGCTGTCTTAAGGAAAGTTGTTGCCTTTTCTCCTCCTCAACAACTTTCTTGTCGTTGTGTATCACCGAAAGAAAATAGACGTAAATCGTTCCTGATTATTATAGGGGACGAATACTTTTAGTCTCCTATAATATTCATGAAATAAAATTTCTAGAGACAATAGAAAGGACTTGGCGTTGCCTATTACAATAGTTGAAGCTTTTGCCTATTCCTTAAAAGTTGAAGTTGAAGTGTCCAAAGCTTTTTACGAGTAGTAATAAATAAATAAAAATTGAACACTATTTGTGGCTGCCTAATGGCTAGGATTGTTTACCAAAATAAGACACTAATCCCAAGTGTTTGAACACTATTGAAGGTTTCATACTGCCTAAGAGTATTTATCAAAATAAGACACTACTCCCCAAGTGTTCAACAAAATAATTTTTTGGACAAACTACAGTAAACACCCTAATCTATAGGGTCATTTACGAGTTCATACCCGATTTTGGGAACATTTATGGGTACATACACAACGTCGCAAAAAATTACAGATCGCCCCCTCCGTTAGCGATTCCGTCATGAAATCCGTTATGTGCCTACGTGGCGTCTAGCTGGACAATTTTTTAAGGGCATTTTCGGCAGATCAGGTCCCTGGTTTTCGCGCCAACACGTGGTTTAGTTTAATTCAAAAAAGAAACACAGAAAACCCCCAAATCGTGTTCCATGTCGAAGCCCCCACTCAGACCTAGCCTCCAAAATCGATAGAAGTGGATGCCCAGGTTCCAATTCGAAGAAGACAAAGACGACGATGTCGACGAGGTCGACGATGTCTGCAAATCGAAGATGTGAAGTGGGCCAGCCCATTTGTCACTGTGGCAATCAATGTCGTCTGACGACGTCATGGACTGACAACACCCCTAGGAGAAGATTTTGGGACTGCGCTGACTGTGGGGTCAGAAGAGGTTGTGCATTCTTTGAATGGTATGATCCACAAGTATGCGAAAGGTCCAAGATTGTGATATCTGGACTATTGAAACGATTGCGTAAGAAAGAAAAGGAAAACCGAAAATTGAAAAAAGAGGTTGGAGCTGCCTTGAAAGCACAAAGATTTCTACGAGCAAGTGTTCTGGGTTCTTGGATTTTTTTGATTGTGTTGTTGGGAATGCTAGTAGTGGAATGGAGAGACTCTGGATCTTCCAAGAATGTGAAATTAGCACTTACATTTTAGGGTCTATATCTTAGAAGAGTTGGGTGATGTATTTTGTGGCCATTTGTGGGACATTCTAGAAAATCAAATTGCTTCGTGTATGAAAGGTCTGTTTCTTGTAATTTCCCATGTGAAGTTGTATGAAAGATGTTTATGTATGAACAATTGTGAGGGAAATTGGAAATGCAGAATGTTTATGTATGCACAATTGTTGGGAATTTCCAATTGAACAATTGCTTGAAGGCAAATTCCATTATATTTTGAGTTCAAAACACATGCATACATTTCCAACATTTGCATCTCAATTTTACAAAATGAACATGAGCACCTAATCTGGAATACACTAAAACAACTACCAAAACCAGAAGTCGGTCCCCACTTGGAGTTCAAAATACCAGAAAGTAAACTTCAAAAGGCCACATCACAAAACCAGACATAATACTAGTTCAAAATCAAATGGAATTTGCATAAACTAAGAACTAAGAACTAAGAGACTATTTTCTTTGTCTCTTGGATGCTCTCAATCCTATTCCAGCAATTTCAGCTGCATTTGGCTGGGAAGCATTTAGTGCAGCCTTCTTTGCAGTAGCAGCAGCCTTTGCCCTTACATATGCATTCTTTCTCCCAACTCTTGCAGCTGATTTTGCTTCATCCTA